GGTTTTGTATCATCATCAGACTTACTGAGGGTACATTCTATCACTTTGTCCAGGTTATTGACAAGCAAGTTCAATAAGATTAAACCCATCCTCCTTACCCCTGGGGAATGAACTGACTACAGGCCTCCAATTGGATTCTAATCTGCTGATTATGACCCTCTGAGCTCTGCAATTCAGCGAGTTCTTGGTCCACCTCACTGTCCTTTCATCTAATCCACATTTCCTGAGCTTACCCAGAAGGATGTTGAAAGGCAGTGTCACAAGCCTTGCTGAAGTTAAGGTAGACAACATTCACTACTCTCCCCTGGTCGACCCACCCTGCCAGACCATCACAGAGGGCTATCACATTGGTCAAGCATGATCTTCCCTTAGTGAATCCATGCTACCACTACTTCCAATGACCTTCTTTTCTTTCACGCACAAATTTGCAGTTCCTGCCAAAAAGCGGTGTGGAGAGTATTCCTCATGTGATTGACTATTGTGCCACAAATAAAAAAAATTGTATTTAAATCCATGAGAAAAAAAATGAGGTAATCTTATCCATTTTTATTGAGGAAATGGTTCAGTAGCACTCAGAAACACATATGATTTAATAGAGTATTACCTTTTAGAAATGCATAATTTTAAAATTATGCCATTGATTCCAGTCTTATAGCTGAACTGTTATTTTTCTGTCTCAAGTTCACAAAGCACCTTGTCATAGAAAACGATACCACATGCAAATATCCTATGAAAATATAATCATATTGTTTTAAAGAAAATCCTGCTTTCAGGCACTTTTCAGACATAAGAAAGAAGAAGCAATGATGTTTAACATTATTTTTTGAAGAAATTAGCTTTTGCTATGGCAACAGCATTGTATCAATGTGCGCTAATTATTAAAGATTTAATTTAGAAAGGTAGAAAATAGCTGGTTTATTGGTGCCATGATATCCTACCTAATTTTGTTTCCTTATTGACTTAATTTCTTGTGTAGAATACTTTTCTTCATTTAAAAAAAAAAAGTGCCGGAAATTAAAAAAAAGAAAATTGCTTTAAAGTTTAAGTTCATTTTGAAACTGAAACTTAGGCATATGGGAAAATGCCACACTACTATTTTCATTCAGTCAGCTGCTCTGGAAGCCAGACATGTACAGAACTGCATAGTGTGCAGGAGAGAGGGATGGAGGAAAACGGTAAGGATAGCTTATGGCTTTCAGGGAGGATCTAACAGACAGATTTAACTTTCCATCTTCTCTGATAAGAAGCAGTAACAAGAAAAGACTTTTTGAAGACCTTCAGAATAAGGATGCATCTTTTTTTCTGGGTCGTGAGGTGTGATAAGCATTTAAGATGCTGGGTAAAAATCTAAGATTTTTAGAAGGATTCCAATTCTTCTTGTTTAAATTGCTCTTGCTGAAGGTTTTAGGTAAAATTAGTAGTGATATATGATAATAATCCCTTACTCTGAATGGTTTATTATGTGTTTTCACAGGCAGCAATAATGCATATAGATATTGCCTTCTTTCAGTGAAAGACAAGAAAAATGGAGCAAATATGTCATTTTGTGTAACTCAGTGTTCCTCCAAATTTTCAAAATACATTTCTCATATATTAAAAATGTTTTTAAGAAGTTACACTCATGAATGTGTTGTATTGAAAACTGCTTTTCAGTTGCATGCTTTATGTACAGTATGACTAATTTAAAATTACTGTAGTTCTGGAGGTATATTAAACATGTTTATATATGCCATTTCCCCATGTTGTCATTAGTAGGTTTCATGGCTCAGTTTCATTTCGCAATATGTAAATAATGAGTGTTGCTTCATTTGCAAATTTATTTATAAACTCATCCACTTCTGATGGTAAATAGGTGAGTAAGTGACTTAGCTTTGTTATAGCATCATGGAATAGTTTGCCTTGGAAGGGACCTTTAAAGATCATCTATTCTAACCTCCTTGCCAGAGATTCTCCTATGGAACTGGGTACCCTAACACAAGCACTGAAAATCAGTGTTATCCACTGTAGGCTTGGAACCAGAAGAAATAACACATGGATACATTGTGGAGATAATTTCCAATAGCCAGACGCCAGACTTACCATTTTGGGAAAACCCCCCCACCTCTATCTCTCTTAATAAAGATATGTTATCAGAATCATCTTGGAATAGAGTAACAATACCTGTGCAATAAAATCTGCTTCTGACAATATCTGTTTCAGAGCTGTTACCTTTTCCACAGATGTAATTATAGTGTTCTTCCAGCTCGTGTTTAGTCCACGTTGCATCTAGGCTACTTTCATAAAAATGTAGATACCTTTCCTTCTGCTCCTGCTCCAGTCTATTTCCTTTTTTTGGTTTATATATACATATATGTGTGTGTATTTGTGCATATTTTTTTTTTTTTAATCAAGGGTAAGTTTGAGTTGGTTAATTCTCAGAGTTACTGTTCAAAATAACACCTTCTGCACAGGGAAAGTCTGCTGTCTCTGCTGTCTGAAGCCTTCAGGTCAAGTTGTAGTGGGTTGATCCTGGCTGGGCACCAGACACCTACCAAAGCTGCTCTATGCCTGCCCTCCTCATCTGGGCAGGGGAGAGAAAATAGAATGAAAGGCTCATGGGTTGAGATAAGGACAGTGAGAGATTACTAACTAGGCAAAAGAAACTTGACTTGGAGAAGATTAATTTAATTTATTTCCAAAAAATAACAGAGTAAGGTAGTGAGAGCTGAAACTAAATATAAATCTAAATCATCTTCCCCCCACCCCTTCCTTCTTTCTGGGCTCAGCTTTAGTCACAAATTCTTTACCTTCTTCCAGCCAGTAGTGCAGGGGGACAAGGAATGGAGGCTGTGGTCAGTTTGTCGCACAATGTCTGCCACTCCTTCCTCCTCAGGTGAGGACTGCTCACACTCTTTCCCTGCTCCAGCATGGAGTCCCTCTCATGGGAGACAGTCCTTTATGAACTTCTCCTAGGTGAGTCCTTCCCAGGGGCTGTAGTTCTTCACGAACTGTTCCAGCATGGTCCCTCCCATAGGGAGGGGAGTGATCTCATTGACACAAGTCCTGCCAACAAACCTGCTCTAGTCTGGGCTCCTCTCTCCGTGGGTCCCCTGGTCTTGCCAGGAGCCTGCTCCAGCATGGGCTTCCCACGAGGTCTCAGCCTCCTTTGGGCACATCCACCTGCTCCCGTGAGGTATCTTCCAGGGGGTTGCAGGTTGATCTCTGTGGGCATCCACAGGCTTCAGGGACACAGCTGACTCACCATGATCTGCACTGTGGGCTACCAGGGAATCTTGGCTCCGATGCCTGGAGCACCTCCTCCCCCTCCTTCTGGCCTGACCTCTGTGTCTGCAGAGCTGTGACTCTCACATATTCTCTCTTCTCTCTCCAGCTGCAGTTACACAGGTTTTTTTTCCTCTTAACTGTGTTATTCTAGAGGTCCTACCACTGTTGCTGATTGGCTTGGCCTTGGCCAGGAGGTCCATCTTGGAGCCAGATGGTGTTGGCTCTCTCAAAATGGGGGAAAGGTCTGGCCACTCCTCACAGAGACCACCTCTGCAGCCCTGTAGCCTACCAAAACCTTGCCACATAAATCCAATACATTAGTTCAGACTCTGGAAATTCTGTGGTTGGTGTGGTGCATTTGAAGAGTAACATGTTGAACTCACTTTATGGTCACTCTTACTCTAAGTAGTAATCTTGGATTCACTGAATATGTTTTATCTGAGATTTTTGAGTTAAAATGTCCCATTTTTCCTAAAGCAAACCCACAAAAGTACCTGTCTAGCTCTCTATAGACAACGCAGGTTTCTGGCCCTTTGGTGTTTAATAAACCCTTTGCTTTTGTTTTAGCTGTATAATCCAGAACCATGCAAAATATTATTTGTTTTAATTAAACTTTCACAGTAAATGATCATCTGAATATTAATAGAAATCTCCCATGCTTTCTGCAATATCTGAGGCAAGTTGCAATTTTCCTTAGTTTTGTGTAAATTAAATGCATGACATGACTACAGATCCCACCTTTGTGTAGCATAGGTACAAGCAGATGTGACATTGACTGACATCCTGCTGCTCAGTAGCTTCTTTTTTCCTGAATCACTGTTTGGTATGTATGTTTGTATTGCCACTCAAGGTTAAAACACAAGTCTTTGAAACCTCTGCCTCTGACTTTGCTTTAGATGAGAAATACATGTATGGAGCCCACGTTTCAGCAGTCACTGTGACAGGGATGGTACTATGCCTGATGAAATACCTTATAGCCTTTCTGGTATACTGCAATAGACCAGCGAACTTCTTTTATTTAGTTTTTTTTCTTCTAATTTAATATCCCACTTGGAAGGAGCATTGCTTTCCAGGCAGCCTTCTGAGCATCATTTTATAATGAGGTTTCATCACAGTGGGTATTATTATATGAGGCTTTAAGATTTTTCTCCTACTTCCTCCCCAGCCCTTAGAGTCACTGGCCTATATTTTTTGAAATATCTGGGGACATGAGTAGTCTCAGTTTTGGAGTGAGGTTTGAGGTCCATTGAATAGACTTGATTTTTCAGAAGACCAATTCTTTTTGCTTATCTAATAATTGACTTTCCCATTAAAAAAGCTAAGAAATACAAAATAAAAGTATTTCCAGCATAAACACAAACTCTTTTCTCTGTGTTTCATTCATTTTCCATTTACTTACAGAGTGCAGTAGAGGGGTTATGGGTGAGAGTAGTCTGAGGTGGTTGGTGCAGGAAATAAGGAGATAACTAGATTGTATGTTGCTCAGTTTTGTTTTATTCCTAAAACTGTGAGAACTCATTGCCAATTGCACATACCCCTAGCATATTCCTGAACATGCACATGGCCTCTTCCCAGTCCTGGTTCTCTAGCTATTTATGGGATAGAGAGGTGTAAGATGTGCAGTCTTTGTTTTTGAATATTGAGGATAGGTTTTAATAACCTTTCAGAAAAAACTTCCTTGGTGACTTTTAAAAGAGTGGTAGTGCTAGTTAATAAGTATTTTTTTGTTGTTCCAGGTGGGAAAACTGAGAGAAAAAATCCAAGAGGTTAAACAAGAAAGGGAGCAGGAGCAGCACAAGCACACTGCCTATGTTTCTGAACTGAAAGCCAAGCTCCACGAGGAGAAAATGAAAGAGCTTCAGAGTGTCAGAGAGCTACTGATCCGGCAGCACGAGCAGGAGGTGGCAAGAATGGTGAAAATCAAAGATGGTGAAATTCAGCGTTTGCAGTCAACAGTCAATGTCCTGCGGGACGGGGCGGCTGACAAAGTGAAGACGGCGCTGCTGAGCGAAGCAAAGGAGGAGGCTCGCAAGGCGTTCGACGGTGAACGAATGAAGTTGCAACAAGAGATCTTGGAGCTGAAATCTGGCAAAAAACAGCTTGAAGAAGCTTTGAACAACATTATGCAGGCGGATAAAATGAAGGCTGCGGACCTGCGCACGGCTTATCAGTCCCACCAGGATGAGATCCATAGAATAAAGCGTGAATGTGAGAGAGAGATCCGCAGGCTGGTAAGTTCATGAAGGAATGCTGTTTATTTCAGTTTATAGCAGGTATTAGTGTATTGCTATATGTGCTCATAAATACCAAAGCAGTCTTTGGCAGTAACATCTTTCATCAGTGCCGATTGCTACAGTAGGCCACCATTTCCACTTCTTTTTCCTCCTTAGAGCAAAGATGAACCTTGGCTCTATGGCTTACCAGCCCAGTCCAAAGCTTTATGTCCCACCAAATGGAAATGAGCCAACCAATTCTTTCCAGGATGAATTTTTTTTCTCAACAGATTAAAGAGATAGACTTTCCCTTTCCTACTTGCTCAACTGTACTCCCAGTGACCCTAACAAGTCAGGCATTGCTCATTTGACAATGCAAAAACACCTCTGTGAGATGGTAAAACTAACTCCTCATAGAGCTTTTATATTTAAATTGGAGGAACTAATTGCGCCAAAACAAGGCAGTGCCTTTGCTTCTTCTGCATCTTCATCCAGGTCATTCAATTTTAATAATTGTTGCCCTTTTTTAAGTTTCAAATTTTCTGTGTTTTTTCTATAGCAACAGAAAAGTTAGGGCCTAGGACAGCAGGCTTTTTTTTCACACTTCATAAACCCTAGGACTTCAGCACAGATGGCAGACTATGCTGTTTGTATAACATGGAAAACCATGTTGACATTTCCTGACAGTGGGTACCCCAAATATTTCAAACTATTCAGCTTTGTACAATGTAAAGAATCTAAGATGTGCTGTGCACAGTAGTGCATTTAGGGATGTCTTAATCCAATGATACTTCTGTTTGGTAGCGTGATATTTTCCATATGTATGTATATATCTAATCATTAATCTGCACAAACTAGCAGTACAATAGCTATGCAAATAAAATCTAAAATTATAATAAACATAATATTTATCTTATGTCAAGAAATACAGACTTTAAATAGAATGAAACATCAGTTTCCTTAAGAAAATATCTTGTCAGTTTGCATTTGCACAGATATGACCTCTTATTTCTTGTATTCTGTAGGAAAAATTATGGTGAGGGCAAGCTACAAACATGTAATATCAGTTTAATGGTGGTGATTTTCTGTCTGAGACAAAGAAAGCTTTTAATGCAATTAATATTTATGCTTTAAATGAATTAGATGTTGATCAAGTCTCAGGGGTATTATTTTCTTCATTAATTAAAGACCACTGCAAAGACTGACAATGTGCAGTTTCTGCAATCATAGTTTCTTTCATATTTTCTTCTGTATTATAATGTAGAATTCTAAAATCATGACTATGGAGTACAGGCAATTTTAAAAAGTGTTAATGAGGAGAGAAAGTTGGTACATTCTGGTATGTGTTTTTCTGAAGAAAATTTTCTAAATGAATTTAACCTTCTCAAGGAGGGTATTCTCAGTAAGAAATGGTGAGGCAAGGCACATAGCGGTGCACTCCAAATTCTATCATGCCAAGTTGCCCCAGTAAACACACCTTTGCCATGCCTTTGAGTGCTATTTTAAAGGAAACACCTAATTCTTCTTCTTCAAGAGTAGAAGCTTTCAGACTTTGCAGTGTAAGGGTGATGAAGAAGGGCACTCTGTTTTCTGTGTGGCACAAAAACATCCTGTCAAGTCATTCAGAATTTTAATTGGAGCCTTGCAGGGCCTCTGTTTTTCAGTACATCTAAAAAGGTGAATGTGTTGGAGTAGTGTGTGGAATACTGTGGTTTCCTATTCCCAGCACCAGAGGAAGCCTGACATTGGTCCCATGGGCTTTGATGGGAAATATTCGTATCTTCCTTCAGGAGTCTGGTGCTGCCTTGTAGCGCCTCAACTCCTTTCATATAATGAATTTCAATTTTTGCATTAAATGGTATGATTTGGTTTTTTTTTTTTTTTTTTTTTGAGGAGTGTTTCTTCTAGGAATTCATAGCAATTTAAGCAGTTCTTATTGCATAGGGCAGTCTTAAATCTGGGGCAAGGTAAAAAACCTGCAGGATTCCTGGATGCTGCTTTGTTCCTTTGAGAGAGCAAGTGGGATTATAGAATCTGATCATCAGGATATTTCCCTCTCTCCTTTCCCTTCCATTTTAATTAGTTCAAGGGATGCTTGCCTTCAATTTCAATTTAACCCTGTCGGGTCTGGATTTGGGGTTCTCAGTTGGTTCCTACCCTAGCGGGATGAAATGGCAAGGATGTGACAGTCAGTGTTATTAATATTAGCACAGTTCTGTAACTGAACTTCAATTAATGTGCTCTTTGATATGTCTGTAGTGTTTTATGGCACTATTAAGAAACCAGCATCTTTGGGATTAACAGCCTAAATGGGCTGGTCGTACTGTAATTCAAATTCAAATAGAGTAATTCAGAATGCAGTCTGATTGTCTTGTCAGACTTGGCTGCTTTATTTTGCATTTCAGATCACAAGTTACTTTTGCAAATATATTTCTTATAGATAATACAGCTGGAAAAAAAAATCAGTGTTTTTGCCATTAATTGTAATACCCATGACTAATTTGAATAAAATCTTGCAATTCTTGGCTGTTATCAAAAAATAAGTATTGATAAAGGAAAATAAGAAAATCCATTGTCTGTGCATGTATGGATACACTTGTATTGAGTACATGAACGGGTATGCTATTATTGTACAAATGTCAGTATTTTAGAAATATGATTAATCAATTATGAGATTGTCTTCATAGTTTTGAACTGAGCAATGAAAAATACCCAGTAAACCTCAATAGACACAAAACTGAATGGGGAATAATAGGGGAAAGGAAAATAGTTATTTGTCAAAAAATAATAACCACTTTTTCTCTGTGCAATATGAAACTATATTGGAATTTGTCAGTTCCTGCAGCTGGCAATATAGCAGTGATATAAATGTTTTCATTAATTTAAGAAATTCTAACTGATGTGGATTTTATTCCCCTGCCCCCCAAGAAAATATATTCTCATTGTATATATGCATAAACACAATGTGTTGTCAGCTAAGAAGCCAGAAATATAAATAGCTAGCAACAAACTGGAGAAACAAATGAAATAGATGTCTTAAAAATAAAGAGAGATCTTGGGAAATCAGATAAGAAAGCGAGAACAGATATTACTTTATTTTTTCAGCCCATATTTTGAGTTTGACCAGTTACATTTTTCTATAGAATGAAAACTATGTTGATACAGATTCAGATACTTGTAAATAGAATTAACATTAAAAAACAGCAAATGAAAGTAAAGGAAAAAAATCAGAAATAGCAAACTGAAAAATAATCTGCATGAAGGAAAAATGTTAAAGCCTGTTTTTATGGATCAGGTTTTTTTTTAAAAAAAGGTATACAAAATCATAGTTGAATTTTTTGTTCTTGTGGTTTCAATATCAACAGACTCAAAGTATACATCCCACTGAGGGCTACATATGCAAGCATGTACATACCTAAATAACACTATGTCAACAGCCTTCTGTTTTAATGACATCCTTGTAAGAGGTATGTCTGCTTTCCTTCTGAGGTTTGGACTAAGGTAAGTTTAATATAGACCTGATTAATGGTCACAAGAAGTTGAGTTTATTAAGCTGTGTTTATAAAGTAGGTTGAAGAGCAGAACTGTGCTACAAAGGCATTTAATGTTTTAATTTAAATTTAGAAAAGTATGCAAAATAACAGTTTATTTCAGCCAGTTTTTCCTAGGCCTTGATTAAGCTTGTCGTTTAACTGACTTACTTGGTTTTGAAGTCAGGAGTAAAGTTAGTTTTCAGGGGTAAGTAAAGTCTCTCTCTTTTGCCTGACATTGTTGAAATAGCATGTTCACATTGTTGGAAACGGACCAACCTTACTTTGTTATCAGCACAGCTGGGAAGGAAGGCGTGGCTATGAACTGTATCATATTAGTTAGAGGTTACATTTATTCTGGGACTACTGGCACACTATTTTTAAGAAGGCCCTTACTTTTCAAGGCATGTTTTCCTAGGTACTGGTTTTGCAGAGATAAGACTAATGGACACTTTACAGTGCTTGCCTTGGAAAATACATGCAAAAGCCCAGTCATTGAATTATGGTATCACTGACCTACTCATTTATAGTATTTCCTGAATAAGAAAGAAACTGAATGTTTATTTTGTGAACACTGTTAATATAAACATAATATTTAAACTTTGGAATAATTAGATGACACTTGCATCCTGCATTTTGTGGTGTATGGTTTTAATAAATATTATTTCTTCTCTTAGAAATGTCTTTAACATCAAGCTATTCAACAACTAAATACCATTTTCAACAACTAAATACCATAGTGCACTGTTAAAATCTTTACACATACAGTCTTCCTAAATATTATTAAACATCTTATACTGAAATGAATTGAAAGACTTCAATGTAAAATAGTCCGAGTTTTCTTAACCACAAAATCATTATAAAAGATTCCACTGATCTTATTACGTGCACAATAAGGTCCTTGTTTAAGAGAGCACACAGTACACCAGATGAATTAAATTTACATATTTCAATTGTATTTTCAAATAGCCTCATAAAAATTGTCTGAAGGGTAATGTGACAGTACTGCAGATTCATAGTTGCAAGACAAAAAATCCTTTTGCTGCTAATAGAATCAAAGTAAAAGAAATTGTTTTCACTAGTGATTTTCAGAAGTTCCTGCTCAGCCATGATTTATGGAGACAGATGCACTATTTAAGCATCCTTAGTCTCCTTAGTCCAAATTATCTTGCTGCATAAATTAAAAACTCCTTCCAATGTGAAATCCTTCTTCTGTTTGGTGTTCGCCAAATATATATAATGCAGTACATGGAAAAATATAATTCAAACTAATAGATTAAGCAGTTTTTAAAGGTAGAAATCAATGCAGTTTGACTGAAAATTCAAGGGAAAAAACCCCTTATGGAATAAGCTTATATACTATTTATATTGATATTTTTAAATATTATAATTTCAGTTTTGTGTATGTATAACCCTTGATCTCATGATTTAAATGAAAGCTTCTGAAAGACTGAGGGTAACATCTTTTCAGAATTAAGGATTAGGCTA